CCACAATGCAGAGATTTCCCTTCACTTCCTGTCCTGGAAACACAACAGGAGGCAGGTGGAAATATCCCCAAAACTAGAGGGACATCCCCCGTGAAACCAGGACAAACAAAATTAGGGGGGGAGAGGGGTGCAGTTCTCACCAAGCAAAAAAATAAATAAAAGGGGCATATTGATAAAAGCAGTAAATCTGACATTCACCAAACATTCACTACAGTTAAACCTTTAAACCTTCCAGGGGAATGTGATTTACATGATTCGCCAACAGTGAATATCTTCCACAAGAGGCATTCACGGGATTATAAATAGGCCCTTAACACTTTCCCTGCCAAGGCGTTTCTTTGCACACATTATAATCCACAACTGTGAAATTGTCCATGGGCGATGCTTCAAAAGCCTGTACAGGTCATCGGTTTAGAGTTAGCTGTGAATATTGGCCCGAGAATTATTAGTCTCACTCTGGCCCATGCAGCGATACCAAACATGTGTAATGCAATCCTCGTTTTTGTACGTGGGCGCGCCAGGCACGTGTTGACGTCCGTATGCGCATGCTCGCGGGGGACTTTAACATTTTTGGGGGATTTTTATATTTATTTCACTTTATTTTTGTTTACTTCACTGTTTATTGCTATGTGATACCATATTAGGAGGTGACAGGTTCTCTTTAAGGTGACACTAGGGGTCTACTAGACCCGTAGCGTCATCTTTCCACTTCACGGAAGCTATTCAAGCACGCATCCTGCGTGAATAGCTTTTTCTGTGGCTTTTCCAGCCTGGGAATAACAGCAGAGGAGCCGGAAGTGATGCAATCAGCGTCGCTTCCAGCTCCACTCAGCGGGGAGGAGTAGATTCACACACCAGCCTGATCCGCTGTAGCATGTACATGTGGGCGGCGTCAGATGTAAATGCATGTTGTGTTATGGCAGCCCATTCATGTAACAGGGCAGGCTTTCACACCACAACAAACCAAACATGTTACATGCAGCACTGCCGGCGTTGGGGAAGTACATTGCGGTGCCGCTCACAATGAACATACAGGAAACACAAGAGTGTGAATGGGCCATAACAGAGGTTATAAGTCTTCCCCTCTCTCTCTCTCTCTCTCTCTCTCTCTCTCTCGCTACAAAAATAATGCATTCTTTACATTTTTGTCTGACCCCATTGAAAGACTGTATCATCACTTCCTGTCTGGACAGGAAATCTTCCCATTAGGGACACAGACAACAAAAACCTGACACTTTTAATGCTCCGTCCAAAATAAAATAAAATGCTGATGCTACAGTCTTGCTGGTTGCTTTTGCATGGAATGTCCCTTTAAGTCTGCTTTAACCCTTTACACTCCCGTAATGAATGAAGGGAAACGTTTGTAACTACCGAAGTGGATAAAAACAGATCTAGGTCATTAAAACAGGAACTTAAAAAGGGCCGAAGATATCGTTCCAATTCCTTGGCGGATGGAAGTCAGTCTGGAGTTTAAACCGGACTGAAACTTCCACGCTTCTCTGCTGGCCGTAGATCAACAACCGCAGTTCAAGGAGAGGTAAGAGGGCCCCTCGCCGAGCAGACAGAGAGGCAGGAAGACGGCGTGTGGTATTAATAAACAAGTCTTTCTAGATGGGATCACGGGAGGCTAGGGACCGCCTTCATCCAACAGGAAGTGTGACTGGGGACACAGGAAACGGTGCTAACTGCCGACCGCTGTTAAGTAACATCCTCCCGATATAGAACACGCTAAAAACACAATTCCTTTTTTAATAAGCCGATAAGTAAACAGAGCTCCGTGGATGGCAGTCAGCGAGACCGGCCATGTTCACGTACAACACATGCCGCAGTTCTATTGTTTGTCAATTTATTGGTCAGTTTTATTTTTTTGTGAATTTATTAAAGTTTAATCTGCTCATGCTATAGAGCCATGTATTCCAGACTTTACACAAATGTTTCAGGTTTCTTAGCTATCACCTGTGCAGTGTATGAAAACCATGGCTTCTATCGGGTAGGGCTTGGGACCCAACGAGACAGTATAACCATACAGGATATGGTGAGACGGGACTAAAGAAGCCATGGCTTCTATGGCGTAGGGCTTGGGAACCAAGGGGTATTGGGAATAGTTTTCAATTAGCAATAATCACGATTCGGATGGCCCTCATTGGCTATGATACTGCCACTGCGCAAAGCTTGGGAACCAAGGAGACAGTGTAACCATCCAGGATAAGGTGAAGGGTCACAAGAGACCATGACTTCAAAAGGGAGTAGGGCTTGGGACCCAATTTTTAAGAGCCCGTGGAACGGGCATCGAAAAAAAAACTTCCCCCTGTGAACAAAACAAGTGAACCGTGAAATCACAGCACACAAAAACGTGCACAAGGGTGCTTGGTCCTTCAATAAAGAAGGGACCTTGAATTCCCGACCCCCCGGGGCGCAAGGCTCCTGACAGGGGTTGATATACTTTGGTCCACCAACCCGGAGGCTGGCGGACCCCGATCCTTCGGGGACCTGCCGGAACAGGTCCCTCTAGGTACTAGGTAGGGGGCTCTCCCGAAGAGAGACCCCCTGGTTTGGGAGGAGACAGAGAACCCTATATTAGGGCACAGAATCTCCTCCCCAGCATCGGGAATAGGCCCCGAAGGAACCTGCACCCTCCGCAATCTGTGGGTCAAATAGAAAAAAATAAAATAGTGCCAAATCGTGCATGAGGTGCAATAAATCAATAAAGAGTGACAGTGCACCACGCTGAGAGGCCCTAGGGGCCGGAGTGCAAAAATATTGCCCCGGACTAGCCATAAGGCCTGCTTCGGAGGCGAAGTGCAGAATATGCAATATGGTGTGTGTCCATGTGCACAGTGAGTCATGTGGGGTCCCACACCCTCGCCACCCCCAGGGGGCACAACACCATGGGCTCTGCCGCCTCCCAACCCTCCGGCCAGATCTTGTGGTTCTCCGCTCACATCAGAAGGTAGTGCCTTCAGGGGCCCTCCCACAGTCTAGGATCTACCCGATACTCAGGGCCTGACGCAACTAGCAGTGGACCGAACCCCATCCAACACCCACCTTTACGTCAGAGGGTACTAGGACGCATCCACCCCTTTCCATAGGTGGCAGCATAATTTCCCCTCCAACAACTGATAAGAACAGATACTACACTTGATCTTGGCCAAAAGGCCGAGAAGCGGTCCATACTGTCTCATTGGTTCCCAAGCCCTACTCCATCGAAGCCATGGTTTTCATACACTGCAATGATGATGGCCAAGAAGCCTGAAACAGATGTCTGCAGTTTGGAATAAATGGCCCAAGATATAACCAGATTAAACTTCAGCATTGATAACATTTACAATTGACAGCTCTGGTTGGAGCTTACACAGGGCCGAGGACTTTCTGCACCATCCATGCGACCAAGGAAACACAAACATTGACTAATGGCTCCGTATCATTAGTCTACAATAAACTTGCTCTATACCCCGGTGGTTCTGGATGCGCATCTAGCTAATGGGGCATAAATAAATAATTTGCATGGCCACGCCCACTGTCTGGAAATTATAAGTAGCCCTCTTATTTTTGGAATCTGATGGAATGCAACACGTGAACACCATCTTTTCTAAGAAGGCTTTACTGTGCTACACACCGATTTGGTTGGAGGACTTTTTGATTACTTTAGTATCATATCTTGGATGGTTATTCGGTCTCAGATACTGCAAAACAAAAAGGTCAGATACACAGCCCCACCAATCGGAGGCGGGTTCCCTTTAATTAGTTTGTGCTCATCAATCTAAAAGGCAGGTTCATACCTAGAAGAAGATTCCTCACTAGAGACCCTGAGAGAGATCCAAGAGGTCATGTGGTGATCGGAGTTCCCGGGTCTTTGGTCCCCCTCTTCCTGTTGGACTTGCACTCTACTTTATAGTATGGAGGATGGAACAGGAGAAGTGGGAACACCCTAGAACACCACGGTTTTGTTTTTTTTAAGCCCGTGGAGCGTGCTCGAAAACAAATCCCCTATGAACAAAAAAAGTGAACCGTGAAATCACAGCACACAAAAACGTGCACAAGGGTGCTTGGTCCTTCAATTAAGAAGGGACCTCGATTCCCGACCCCCCGGGGGCGCAAGGCTCCTCAACGGGGTTGAGTCTGTTGGTCCACCAACCCGAAGGGCGGTGGACCCCGATCCTTTGGGGACCTGCCGGAACAGGCCCCTCACAGTACTAGGCGGGGGGCTCTCCCGAAGAGAGACCCCCCCGGTTGGGAGGAGACAGAGAACCCTATATTAGGGCACAGAATCACCCCCCACATCGGGAAAAGGCCCTCGAAGGAACCTGCACCCTAAGCAATCTGTGGGTAAAATTTAAATCAAAAAAGGTGCCAATCGTGCATCGTGCATATGGTGCAATAAATAAATAAGGAGTGCCAGTGCACCACGCTGACAGGCCTTAGGGGCCGGAGTGCAAAAATATTGCCCCAGACTAGCCATAATGCCTGTCTTGGAGGCTTTGTGCAGAAAATGCAATATGGTGCCGTGTCCTAGTGCACAGTGAATCACTTGTGGGGTCCCACACCCTAGTGATTTTCTGATGCACCTCTGGGACGCCACACCCAGGGGGCACAGCACCACGGGCCTCTGCTGCCCCCAACCCTCCAGCCAGACCAAGCTTCATATCCGTTCAGTCAGAAAGCCATGTACCAAGCTGTTCCCCTCTCACAGGAAGCCGCCCCACACGCTCTCTCACTCCAGCGAGTACTAAGTAACCATCCCCCGCAAGGACGGTTCTTTTCCCCACCGAAAACTGATAAAGAACAGATACTACACTTGATCTTAGCCAAAAGGCCGAGAAGCGACCACTGTCCTAGCAGGAGGAAGTAGAGCTGAAAGTGTGGCAGGGTGGTCTCACTTTCTGACGGGAGGCTATCTCCTCCCACCACATTCCAACCATAAGTGAAATCTCAGCACCTGGTGGGGTTATCATTCCAATCTATCCAGTTTTGGAGAATCCGCATCCGTATTTTGTTCTTACCCAGATCGTACTCCGGATCCAGGGGCTCGCTCTTTATCACTTTCCTCCTCCTCCGCCTGGTCCGGACAACGGTCGGTTCCTTCTTGGACTTGGCAGGCTTGGGTTCTTTCTTCTCGGGGACCGAGGAAGCCGCCCGTCTCTTGTACTGAAATGAACAGGATACAAAGTAAGAACATAGTCCGTGAATCTGAGGACTGAGCCGTGCCCGATCCCAGACACAGGACCCAGAAGAAAAATTTAAAGAAGAACTCCAGACAACCTTGCTTTGGTTTTCAGAGCTGGGCAATGTCATGCCCTTCAAGTTTGGTGTGTGTGCTGTGTGTCCCCATTAAGGAAAAGTCTCCTCACTTCCTGTCAGCTAAAGAAGTGATGGGAAATCATGTCCAGTGAGGGCACAGACTGCAACACAATATTTCTGTAAAATAGGAAGGGTTAGAACCTCTGTCAGGTCTGATCCCAGTGACATCCGCTCCCCACAATCTTCACATAGACAGCAATTTAAAAAAAAAGCTTAGACTTTCAAGTCTATTAAAAAAAAAAAATATTGGGTTAGAGTTGGGCTTTAAAGCTGAACTCTGACACAGAAGATCTATTTATATCCCCAGCAACAAGAGATATAAATCCACTTTGTTTGCACCAAATGTCTTTGCAAACCCAGATATTCCCTTGTACAGGTGGCAGTGACATCATCACTAGAGCTGCAGCTAACGATTATTTTCAAAATCGATTAGTTAGCCGATTATTAAGTTCGATTAATCGGATAAACAATAAAACAAATTTTAAAATGTGGCTCCAGTGATGGACTACTAGTTTGTATTGAGATTGCACTCCATCACAGGAGCAAGCTTGGAGCGGTGGAAGTAAAAAAGAAAAAAAATAGTGTGGTGTGCAATATAGTGAAAAGGAAAGTATAAAATTATAAAGCAATGAATGCAGAATGGCAACGACTATAGAGGACTACAAATCCCAGCAATAGTACATTATACAGCACAATGCAGAATACCACCAGCTATAGAGGACTACAACAAATCCCAGCAATAGTACCTTATAGCTGGCGGTATTCTGCATTGCGCTGTATAATGTACTGTTGCTGGGTTTTGTAGTTCTCTTTAGCTGGTGGTATTCCGCATTGCGCTGTATAATGTATTATTGCTGGGATTTGTAGTCCTCTATACAGCGCAATGCAGAATATCACCAGCTATATAGGAATACAACGAATCCCAGCAATACATTATACATACAGTGTATAATGTATTGCTGGGATTTGCAGTCCTCTATAGCTGATGGTATAATATACAGCACAATGTACCATCAGCTATAGAGGAATACAAATCCCAGCAATACATTATAGAGCACCATGTGTGGGAAAATGCAGGCTTACCTGAGCAGTCTTCCAGCAACTTGCTTCTGAGATCGGACCTGTCTATCGGCGGCTGTCATCCCCCCACACCTGCTCCTCCTTACTACATCTCCCCGCGTCCCTGTGCCAATCGTGGATGTGGGCGGGCGGTGAGTGTGAGGCGGGGAGGAGGTGCGGCGTGAGGAGCGTGGATGCGGGCGGGTGGGTCTGGCAGCGACTAGTGTGAGGTGGGGAGGAGGTGCAGCGCGCAGCGTGTGTGGAGCTGTGTACAGGGTCAACTGATCGGAAGCCGATTAATCGATTATTGAAAAAGTTGACAACTTTTTCAATAATCGATTATAATCGATTATGTCGATTAGTTGTTGCAGCCCTAATCATCATTATGCTGTACATGGGCCTATACAGAGAGCAGAGCTTTGGAATGGGTCCAACAGGCCCCACCCACTACAGACGGCCTGCAGAAAACTACAGGAGGGGGCGCAGACCAGACCAGTCGCCCTGCACAAGGGGAGGAGCAGCAGTGACCGGTCTTTATTACAGGAAGCTCCAAGTCTCACACTGGATTACTGCACAGATCTGGAACAAATACACAAAGATCACCTGGATTCCAGGAAGAATACACATGACTCTTGTATGAGGACAATATTTGCTAATCCCTGAATTCAGCTTTAAATAGACACTCTCTGATCTGTACACCCGCTGTGTCCATTATGAGGACCCCCACCATCCCTGAGCTGAGTTCCCGGGTCTGTACACCCGCTGTGTCCATTATGAGGCCCCCCACCATCCCTGTGCTGAGTTCCTGGGTCTGTACACCCGCTGTGCCCATTATGAGGGGCTCCCACCATCCCTGTGCTGAGTTCCTGGGTCTGTACACCCGCTGTGCCCATTATGAGGGGCTCCCACCATCCCTGTGCTGAGTTCCTGGGTCTGTACACCCGCTGTGCCCATTATGAGGGGCTCCCACCATCCCTGTGCTGAGTTCCTGGGTCTGTACACCCGCTGTGCCCATTATGAGGGGCTCCCACCATCCCTGTGCTGAGTTCCTGGGTCTGTACACCCGCTGTGCCCATTATGAGGGGCTCCCACCATCCCTGTGCTGAGTTCCTGGGTCTGTACACCCGCTGTGCCCATTATGAGGGGCTCCCACCATCCCTGTGCTGAGTTCCTGGGTCTGTACACCCGCTGTGCCCATTATGAGGGGCTCCCACCATCCCTGTGCTGAGTTCCCGGGTCTGTATACCTGCTGTGTCCATTATGAGGGGCTCCCACCATCCCTGTGCTGAGTACGTGTGGTGCCATTCGTTTATCATAGGACCCAACGCACATCTATAAAAGCTTCCAAGCTCCTACAGTAAAGCGCACCAATACCAAGTGCTGGGATGCTCTGCTGCAGCACATGAAAATGCACACAGATGCACGCCTGAAAGCCCACCCCGGGGCACAAGACAAAAAGACTTTGCACTGTGCCCCCCCCTCCGCCCTTCAAGGGTTAACTGCTGTCCAAGGATGCAGGGATAAGGAGTAATCCTCAGTCCCAGGGTCCCACCATCTGTGTGACTGCACCGTTCAGCCTCCTCTATAAAGGTGCTCCGAGGTCGTACACTCACATCCTCCATGTACAATGGAGGGGTTAATGGCCCTGCATTGTAAGCAAGGACGCTGATGGATGGCCCACAGCCAAGACGGGTCATGGAGAGGAGGAGGGTGCTGGAGCTGAGGAGTGTGGTAAATAATATCTCCTCTTCTTGCACCCCCTAGACCAGAGGAAGCCAAACTCTGCTCCTCCAGATGTGGTGGGTCTACAAATCCCATGAGGCATTGCAGGACTCAGACAGCCACATGTATGACTCCCAGAGGCAGATGCATGATGGGATTTGTATTTTCACCACAGCTGGCGGGCCGGAGTTTGCTTGCCCCTGCCCTAGACCTAATGAGCGTTCAACCCTTGCAGTGCAGAGGGACCCAGATCCGGGCTTTAACGTAACACATGGAGCGAATCGACCCGATCCCAGTTCCGAGCTAATTATGTCAGAATCGCAGCTTTCATCAACCGGAGAACAGCCGGGACCTCATCTCATCAAGAACCTTAAGTCAACCAAAGGCCGCCAACAAGCAGCGAGATGACCACACGCATCCCATAAAAACACCAGGTGGGCAGGTCTACTAGATAGAGGAACGCGTCCTCAGTAAAGATATCCGTTCATGAAAAAGAAATCTAAAACAGTCAAATCAATTTTGAAAAAGGAATAACTGCGCGTCTACGCGATAATTGGGGAGCGGAACAGAACATTTCCATGAGAAAATTATTGTTAGAAAAATTGGTTAAAATAATTGCACAGCTCAGCGATTCCTGTGTGTGATGATGAAGACCACGGATCATGGGGAGTGAGTGCATGATGTCTCCAAGACTAGGGATACACCGATACCGGTACTAGTATTGGTGCCGATACCGAGTATTTGGGTGAGTACAAGTACTCGCCCAAATGCTCAGATACCTTCCCTGATACCAAAGGTTTCCTCTGACCAGCAGTGCCGTAGGGGAACATGGAACTGGCTTCCCGTGCAATCAGGAAGCCGGCTCCATACTGTTCGGCTGGCTCCATGCTGATTGGCTAGGAAACTGGCTTCTGGGCCCATCAGCACAGAGCCGGCTTTCCGGCCAATCAGGCTGCTGCATGGCAAGTTATGACGCACCTACTGGCCTCCTGATTTGCCCGGAATCCAGCTTCCCAGCCAATCAGCATTGAGCCGGCCAAACAGCATGGTGTCGGCTTCCCGGCCAATCAGCATCGAGCTGGTTGTTCAGCCGGCACAATGCTGATTTGCTGAGAAGCCGGTTATCTGGCCAATTAGTAAGGAGCCGGCCAAACAGCATAGAGCCGGCTTCCAGGCCAATCAACATGGAGCTGGTTTACCGGCCAATCAGGAAGCAGTGAGGCAGGTCAAGCCGGCTCCATGTTGTTTGGCTGGCACAATGCTGAGTAACCATTAAACTGGCTTCTCAGCCAATCAGCATTGAGTAGGCAGAATAGCCGGCTTGATGCTGATTGGCCGGAAAGCCGGCGCCACGCCGATTGGCTGGGAAGCCGGTTTCCTGGCCAATCAGCATCGAGCCTGCCAAACAACATGGAGCCGGCTTCCTGGGCAAACCTCTGACCAGATTGCCCAGGAAGCCGTCTCCATGGCAGTGAAAGCACCGGTATCAGTACTCAGTATCGGCAAGTACCGAAAAACCAGTATCGGTGCATCCCTATCCAAGGCCTCATCCAACCCAAATCGGCCTTGGCTGGGTCCTATTTACAAGCAAACACAGCCCAAAGCCCAAATTTTGGAGACAGAGGTTCTGAAAATCTAACCATAAACCTAAAAGGGCAAAACGTACACATTCATAGAACGTAAGACATGAAGGCATAGTAAGTCAACACTGCGAAACTGCCGCCATGACAAATTATCGGCACATGTAAAACATACTGGAAGATACAATTGGTAGCACTCACCTTCCTTTTCGGAGGTTCCTCCGTGCTTTTATCCGCGACATCTTTTTGCTTTGCTTTATACTTTGACTTGGGTTGGGTGGCCTTGGCCGGCGTCAGCTCCTCCAGCTTTTTTATCCGTCCTCTCAACCCCGGCTCCTTCTTCACCCTGACCTTAACGATGGCAATCGGCGGCATTTCCACGGGCGACCACGACGAATGGTTAAAGCTCGGCAAGCGTCCAAAGCTTTCCTCGTCGTCGTCTATCCTCTCGATTTTGACCTTGCTCAAGTCTACCTCCTGTACGCAGTGCGCAGCCTCCGGCGCGTGTGCCTTTTTGTGGCTCCGTTTCCGCCGGGCGGGCTGCTCCTGCGAAGAGTCGGCCTTTGAGTCCTTTTTAGTGCAGTCCTGATCCAGCGCAGGCAAGCCACGGCTACTGTCTTTTGGTTGGGCCGTGGTCAGCTGGTCAGTCATGTAGGAGGCCAAGACGTTGTTTTTCGGCTTGGCGTCGCCGAAGATCTTCCGACTGCAGCTCAGCTTTGGCCGGATTTTGTCCTCTTTGCAGTTCGTTTTTTTCGAAACTTTATTTAAAAGGGGGCTTTCCTCCGCCACCTGAAGAGGATTTGCACTACAATCTGCTCTGTCCGCCACACCTGGCTGAGGGTATACAACATTATTTCCTGCGGAAGGTTTTGGTGCAAGCAGTGCTTTGTTTTTATGGGATTTATGCTGCTTGGAAAGAGTCTCGCACGTCCTTGCCTTGCCCAACGTGTCCGGCTCTGGAGCAGCAGAGTTTTTCAGTTGGACATTGAGCGTGGAGTCACCTGTATTTTGAGGCTTTGCATTGGACTCGGCTGGAAGAATGTTGGGGAATAAAGTGTATTCTGCAACCGGAAGTCTGTGAGGAGGACCTTGGTTTGGATGGTGTGTGCTTGTGGCCTGTAAGCCGATGGAAAGCAGCGATGACTGGTAGTGAGACCAACTTACTGGCAGAACCTGAGAATTGCTAGGCTTCCCGTTTAAGGGACACTTTGGGTGTACCGTCCCGAGCCCAGATAAGGTCCAATCCTTTGGCGGGCATACAGAGTTCACTGTAGCAACGCGTCCGAGTAGATTTCGTTTTTCAGTGGACTGCAGGCCGCCGACGTTCGCCTGGCTGTTTTTCTTGCCGCACAACCCTGAGTTCTTTGGCTCTCCCTGGTCAATGATTGAGATAGGTTCCTGCTTTGCCAGATGGCGGGAGTCTGTGCTAAGGCTCAAGTTCGAGTCCTTGTTCAACAACACGGAGGCAGGCACTGGGTTGGCCACCCCTACATACGTACCAGGAATGGTACTAATGAGAGCAGCTGAGTTTTTGATCCAAGACCCAGGCGCTAGCTGCGGTGACCCCGGATCCCCATTTCTCAAGAACTCCGGGAACATGACCAGTGGTGCCCCCCGCAAAGTCTGGTTAACACTGCTGGTGTTTGGCGTGAGCCGCTGGGAGGTACAGTCGGACCTGGACAAGACGGAGGACAGAGAGGCTTTCCCGCTGGTGTGCACCGGCGTTAACACTGGCATGGGAGGAGTCTTACGTTGGTTTGAAGGGGCGTGTTTGTGACGGTGCGATTTAGAGGACAAGTCCAAAGGCATTTCGTACGCATCCGGAGGAGACACCATTTCTCGCTCCAGCTGCGGGGGGGACTTTAAAGGGGACACGGATGAAGTGGAGGAATCGCTTTGAGGTTCTAGGCTAGAAGGCGTTCTTGAATACGTTGCGAGGGCTATGGGGCTTACGCTGACCATGGGAAGAGTGGGATGTGCGGACAGAGTCTGTAAAGCTGTTAGTGTGGAGGACATTGTGTCAGTTGAGGCTGGGGAGCCGTCGGCCGTTGATGGGATGACACTATTGCTGTTGGTAAAGGTAATAGAAGGGGCTGTGCTGGCTGGTTTATTTGATTCGGTAGAAGACACTTTAGGGTCAGCAGTTAAGGGTCTTCCCAGAGGAGAGGCAAAAGCATGGGTGTGCATGTCTGAAGGGGTCTGAAGTAGGCATCGCTCCTGCAAACAGGCGGACAGCATGGGAAGGGTTAGAGTTGGAGTAACGCTAAACGTGGTCGGTACGGTAGTTATGCTGAGGGGCTGTCCACAGTTGGCGGGAGGGATGTAAACTAAGGGCTGGCTTGGCGCTAAGACGGTACCGGTCGGAAAGGACAAAGGAAGCTTCTGCATGGTAGGGACCTGAGTGGCAGGGAAGCAGATTCTGCTCATAGTGAATGGGGTGAGGGTGCCAAAGCTGGATGTAACTACTGTGTGGGAGGCCTCCACCGGCTGGCCTGCAATTTGTAATCCAGGGCCCAGGATAGGCTTTTGTTTTGTGGTAGGATCGGCATCGGCAGGCCGAAGGGCAGGGAGTTCGGTGCCCGCTGCTTTCTCCTGCGCCGGAGTCCTGGCAGACGCTACCTTTTTACCATGTTTGCTCAAAGCTGTCTGAACGTTTGTATCCAGCATGTTAACGGCTTGCTTGGCCTGAAGTGCTCGAGTCTTGGGTCTGGATTTGGACAGTGGGGCGGCTCCGGCAGGCTGGGGGACGGCGGGGTCCGGTGGTTTCTCCTCTAGTCGCTGGCCAGCTCCAACCTGTGCACCGCCATCTTCCTGCACCATCAGGACATCACTTTGGTTGGGCGCTGGCGTTATATCCACCTGAAACCAAAACACAACAAAATCAGCAATTATCCTGAGAATTAAAAAAACCGAATCGCTACACTGTACCAGCTCAGAACTGGAGCTCAGCCCTACATTCCGACGTCTTCTCCTCCACGCTAAGAGCAGAGGGAGATAATCTAATACTCGGCATTGGGGACAGGCCTACTGTTCAATGGTCCACTTCTGGAGCCAGCAGCTCTGGAGAAGCAAAAAAGGTGGAAGGAGAAGCCGAATGCTTTTGATCCTCTTCTGTTGGTGTGTATGGAGGACATTTTCATTGTTAGCTACTCACCTCCTAAGGGGTATAAACATCATTCTAAAGGGGTTCATTTATTACAGAGAGGGGACTCCATTTTAAGTGTGCACTTTGCAGGATGAGGAGATCTCTCCAGAGCGAGGAGAAATCCCCTCCTAGATAGCTCTCACTAGGGATGCACCGATACCGATACTAGTATCGTTATCTGTGCCGATCCGAGTATTTGGGCAAGTACTGGTACACGCCAAAATGCTCCGATGCCTAGCCCGGGCAGAGAGTCATTACACGCTGCCCGGCTTCCTGATTGGCCGAGAAGCCGGCTCCATGCTCCCTCGTCACAAGTGACGAGAGAGCATGGAGCCGGCTTCCCGGCCAATCAGGAAGCCGGGCAACGTGTCATTACACGGTGCCCCGCCATTCTGATTGGCCAGAAAGCCGGCTCCATGCTCCCTCGTCAGAGCATGGCGACGGCTTCCCTGTTAATCGGGAAGCCGGGTGGAGAGTCATTACACGCCGCCTGGCAACCTTAATGGGACTCCCGGTATCGTTATCGGCGAGTACCGTAAAAAAAAATATGGGTAATCGTACTCGATACTGAAAAACCGGTATCGATGCATCCCTAGCTCTCACTAAAACCGGTGTCTCCTGAAAAGGTCACATTGTTCTGCCTGGTGAAGGGACAGCATGTGGTTCCGAAACTTTGCATTTGCTTGTGACACAGTGTTTATGTAAACGTCAATAAAAGACGGATCGATGAAGTGGACCTTGGTGTGCCGGTGACCTTATTGTCTCCTTTAGTCTTACAGCGCCATCCGCTGGCCATTTCAGCTACACGAGGATACGTGGATTTGGAGTGCCATGGGATACCTCGGAATCCTTTGGAAAACGCCCCCTTGCTACCTGTGCCAACTCAAATTTTGGACTTCCCATCACTTTCTGATGTAGAGACAATGACCACCTGGAGCAATAGTGACGGCGAATAGCCCGGGCGATGAAGGTGCGAGCCCTTCCACATTCTATCCGACACTAAAATAAAACACGCGTTGCAATCCATTGGACAGACTTTAGAACTGCGAGGGCCTAAGTGACTATCCGTAGTACGCATGTTGGTAAACGTAAAGGTGGTTGGAACATGCGTCAATGTTAAAGCAAACCTGTAGAAAAAAATAAAGGCCTCAGGAAATGTTAAAGGGGAAGTACACCTGTAATTACGTCTCTGCTGGTACAGAAGAACTACAACTGGGATGTTACACAACTGATGGCCCGGGGAAGAAGTGGGCACAGCGGTCCTACAAACAAGAAATAAGAGACGCCGAGCCCTTCTAATGCCGCATTCCCGGAGTGATATCGCATTGGCGTCACAAAGAATAACTGAAACTGCTTTAACCCCTTCATGACTGAGGCTTTTTATTTTTTTCATTTTTTGCACCCATGTTATATTCCACATTTTAGGCCTGAAAATTACTTAAAACCCCCAAACATGATATGTTTTCTGAAAGCCGAGACCCTATAGAATAAAATGGCGGCATTTGCAAATTTTTATGTTGCACGATATTAGCGCAACTCTTTATAAAACCCCAAAATTTAGTGAACAATGTGCTCAAATGCCAAAAAAACACAATAAAATACCCATTTTTTAAAAAAAATATAAAAGATGAGGTTACAACGAATAAATAGATACCCAACATGCCCAGGTTAAAAATTGCGTGCATCCGTGGAACGGCGACAAACCTCAGTACCCCAAAAAGTCCATGGACGACGCTTTAAAAGCCCCCCACAGGTCATCAATTTAGAGATACCCAAAAATACAGGCCCTAGAATTATTGCTCTCACTCCGGCGTGCGCGGCGATACCCAACATGTATAGTGCGTTCGTCGTTTTTATGATAGGCGCACACCTGACGCGTGTTTACGTGGCTACGCGCGTGCTCGCGGGGGTGGGGGACTTTAAACATTTTTTTAAAATTATTTTTAGATTTTATTTAAATTTTTAAAACTGTTATTTTTTTTACTTCACTTTACTTTGATTGCTATCACATAGGAGGGCTTACAAGCCCTCCATGTGATAGCAGATGGTGGTGACAGGTACTCTTTAAGGTGATGTTGGGGGTCCAAAAGACCCCCAGTGTCACCTTTACACTTGAAATAAGCTATTGAAGTGCAGTTCGCACTTCAATAGCTTATAGCTGGGCTTCAGGAGCCCAGAACTGACAGCCCAGGGACCGGAAGTGATGCAATCTACATCGCTTCAGGTCCCCGCCAATACCAGGAGAAGCCGGTCCCGGGCCCTTCGGAGGGGCAACGGAGCCCTGAGGGGTGTCGGGCGGGACCCCTTCACCGGGCTGTAGAAGCGATCTGGCGACAGCTGAGTCGCCAGAATAGCTTCTATTGTAAAGCCGACAGTCGGCTTTACAAGTTTAAAGGAGAACTATGAGGGGGGTGCTTTTCACTCACCTCATAGTTCTAGCCGACGTGTGACAATGAGACTGTCACAGGTCGGCTCAGTAGATCGGGAAGTGAGCGAACACATACCGGCGTTCGCTCACCTCTCGATCCTGTCATGGCTTCGATCCGCCATCGCTGACTGGCGGAACGGACGGGGGAGGGTACAGCTTGCTCTGCCTTTAGATAGGCAGAGCCAGCTGTCAGTCACGCAGCTGGGCGGATCCCGGCACAATTGTCGGGATCCGCTTTAGCTGCGGCGTCTCAGTATATAGGGAGCTGTAGCTCGCGGTATACTGATCTTAGGGTGACGGGAGGACGCTAGTTTGTGTCCTCCCGTTACCCTAAGGAGAACTATGGGGAAAAGCCTTAACCCCATAGTTCTCCTTTAAACAGAGTCCCGGCGGCGCCCCGATGCTGGCGACGCACACTGTACGTCTTCAGTCGTGAAGGGGTTAAAGCTTCTGCCCGGAGTTCCCCTTTATGTGCTCTCTCCCCGTCTGTTGGGACCGCAGCGAACGTTTGAGTTTTGTGGTCTTTTCTTCTGTAATAAAACCCTTTGAATCCACAGACCTCAAACATGGCTCACGTAGTGCAGTCCCTGCCTCAGAACTTTCAAGGACCGACGCAAACCCTTCACCCGCTATAAGTAGGTACAAAACACTCGGCTCCCGATCGTCACTGAGCCTTTGTGATCCCCTTCACCAGAGAGCTCAGAACATCCATCACAAGGGGTCACCGAGTACTTTCCGGAGATGGGCGGAAGCTGAGTGAGTGTTTTGTACCGACCAGAATGGGTCATGCTGGAGGGTCTACATGAGAACAATCGCAGGCTGACAGTCTCCTGCACCCAGTCCATGAAGATCCAGACTGCAGAGAGATGCTACTAAAGCTTTTGTGGAGCTCCGGCCTTCCCTTCAGTCCTTGTACGGCCTCTTCTCCTGTACTGTGATGGCTCTGCACACTGGGAGCTTCTCACTATGTGCATTACAAGTTGCAGCAGGTCAGATAGAATCCGCCTCATTTCCTGGCTGGAGGACGTCCACCACCATCTAGATCTTTTCTCTTCAGCCTGACCGTCCCTGGCCCCGTCCCTTTCATTCATTGGGTTTCAGTTCTTTCCATCATGGAGGCCTCAGCGTCACTTGTGGGTGGTAACTAGGGCCTTTCGCATGCAAATGCCCACTGCTTGCGTCGTGAGGGGGGTACTGAGGCTGCGTGCTGCGATTAAGGATGCGCCGATACAGATTTTTCGGTATCAAGTACCAATATTTTTTTTTCCCGTTACTCGCGGATACCGAATACCGATACCGGAAGTCTAATTAACCAGTTGACATCCGCGGTGTTAAACCCCCTTCCCGTCCAGGCCATTTTTCAGTATTCAGCGCTGCGGTACTTTAACTGTGGAAGACAGTGTAATGACCCGCCACCCGGCTCCATGATTAGCAGGGAAGCCGTCTCCATGCTTCTTCGTCACCAAGTGAGGGGGAAGCGTGGAGCCAGCTTTCTGGTCAATCAGAGAGCGGGGGGCGGGTAATAACTCCTGATTGACCGGCTTCCCGACCAATCAGGAAGCTAGGCGGCGTGTAATGACTCGCTGCCCAGCTTCCTGATACTGGAAGCTCAGGTATCTGAGCATTTGGGCAAGTACGAATACTCGCCCAAATACTCGCCATCGGCACCGATACTAGTATCGTTGCATCCCTAGTAGTGATGGGCTCGGGCATGTTCGCAGCTCCACGTGCAGAGCCCGCCAGGAAGCTGACAGCGCCAATCACAGACACTGAGACATTTCCCGATCTCTGCAGCTGCGGTATGTCGGGATCCGGCCCGGCTGCGCCGTCTCAGTATACCGCGAGCTGTATCGTGCGATATACTGAGCTTTGGGTGACGGTAGGACGCTAGTTTATGTCCTTCCGTGACCCGTAAGAGAACTATGGGGAAAAACACTGACCCCATAGTTCCACTTTGAGCTTTGGCTATACGAGCCGGCAAAAAATTAAACTGCTTGTGCCAGATGAAGACAACCTGACCAGTTGGGGGATCCCAAGCACTGAAGTAGAGGGAATATGCCGGTTATCCCCGATTGTGTTTGGAAGGAAAACCCGGATAAAAGGTAGGAGACGGATTGTTTTTTTGGGGTGTTGTGTTCAGACAAAGCTCACCTTGGAGAGGACACTGCTTACACAACGCTCTTCGCACCCCAGGGGCTGTGTACTGCTCGACTTTGATTCTTCATCAGAGAGAGGCGTCCTTCTGTTCAAAACAGAGGCGAGAAAATGACATTCGGGGCGTGGCCTGAGGGAGTGAACGTCATGCCGCACAGAACATGGAAACTCGCGGCACTCAGATAACTAATGAGTTGCAAAAGTGCGTCCGTTCATTGAACAGGAGGACTATGGAAGCACGCGCAGGTGTGGTGGGAAAGGGGGAAGTGCGCACCGGAGTCGTGGTGAAGAATGAGGAATGTGTCGGTGTGATGGCCGAGAGGGAGGCGCGGGGGACCCTGTGCGGTGCCCGAGAGGGAGGCGCGGGGGACCCTGTGCGGTGCCCGAAAGGGAGGCGCGGGGGTCCCTGTGCGGTGCCCGAGAGGGAGGAGCGGGGGTCCCTGTGCGGTGCCCGAGAGGGAGGAGCGGGGGTCCCTGTGCGGTGCACGCCGGTGCAGGGCCTGGAGAGGGAAGACCACAGAGGGCAGGGGAGGGACAATGACAGAAATGTAGATCAGTGTAACATTATAGAGTGAAGCGCGTCTCACCTGTCCTCGTTGATGCCGCACATGCGCACGCGGTCGGCACTGGTCCAGTTGTGCACTCCGCTGTAGAGCGGGGCGGCTGATATCATGGCAGGAGGGGGAGC